TGATGATGTTTTGATGTAGCAACCAGATCGAAGGTCAGGGTTTGGTTGCGAGGACTCATGGATGGCATCTTCAACAAGTAGCATGGCTCCGGCCGACTGGCAAGGATCCTCCCACCACTCACCAACTTGTTCTTCTTCTTCGTCGATCTTACAGTCGAGTTGGACAAAGAAACCGCCTACGAGGAGAGGGATGGTGCCTTGTGTCGGAATGCGCATCAAAAACAACATATTTCAGGATCAAAAGCATATTTCAGGATCATAAACAAGTTCGGTGGTGGTGGTGGTGGTGGTGGGTGGGTGGTGTGAGAATGTTGCTCTGCAACATTCCATCTCCGGGCTGCGGGATTGGACTTCGCGTACTACTTCCGTACTTAAAAGTTACGACGCGTTTCGCGCGGAGCCACAGCGAGAGCGCTTCGACACGCAAAACCCGCGCAGAGGGTCTCGCGCGCACACCTCAGACTTCGTAACAAAAAACACAGTTTTTCAACTCTGACCGCGCGGAACCATGAGAGGGTCTCATTTTCGCAGAACAGGCTTGGTCCCACCGCGCCGCCTTAAAAGACTAACTTTTATGTCGTGTGTAAGTTTCTTGGTGCGAGGTGTGCTCGAAGCCAAGTTTTCTCGCGCACTGCGCTTTCCCTATGCACTTCTCTCTGCGCTTTCCACATGCAATTTCCCGGTGCATTTCTTTGTGCACTTCCCTACGCATTTGTCTGTGCATTAACAGCGGCAAATCCGCCAAACGCTAATGGGTGGGCGTCGAGGTGTACGGGGCACTTTGCATCAATCTGTCCACATCTCCAGAGTTTGCAGAAGAGACGAAGCAGGATCTACATCTTTGGCTGCAGCAGCTGAGGTGGAGAGGCCCAACCATCATACGAAGAGACTAAAACGTGATCTACACCGACAGCGCCACAAGCAAACCTCATACTTCAAGATCATGAGCAAGTTAAACCAAAAAAGCACACATTCTAGGTCCAAGCGGAAGAGCAGCCCCCCTCCTCAGAGGGTTGAAAAGAGTGTGGCGTTTAAGAAAGGAGCGCCTTAATCAACCCCAAGCTAGCCTAAACCAAGCCCGCGCCAACGCTGAACCAGCACTAAACGCCAAGCCAACCCTAAACCTTCCCTACACAAACCTTAGGCCAACCAAACGCAAGTGTAGACCCACCCTCAAGAACCGAAGCCCCGCCCAAGCCCACCCAAACTCTGTCAACCAAAGCTTCTGGTGATGCCGGGGGGTTGAAAAAGATGCTGGGGCGATGTTGACGGTGCCGGTGTAAAAGGTGTGTGACTTTTAGCAAATGCAGCAAACACTTTCGACTTGCTGAGCCTAGTGAAAAGCAACGCCCAAATTTCCGCCTGCCCCCCCAGTATCTGAGAGCTATGTTGTTTGATCCTGAAGTATTTTTTGATCCTCTACGGATGCTTGCATGGCTGTCACCGTAAACGCATTCTTGGCAAATGATCCGCACTCAAGAACCAAACATTTCGTAACAAGGCGTTGTTTGGACTTGATTGTGCTAACAGCGATCTTCACCGACCTGTGGGTGCCAGACTCATCTTTCTCCAATTTTCGTTTGAGCGGGGTGTTCCAAAACTGCGCCGGAGGGGTGAGGGGATCGTCTCCGTTCGTAAAACCAAGGGCCCTTTTGCTAGAAGTGTGGGATCGGCTAGACGAGCTCAGCTTGGCTTCAATTGGTTTGAAACCCACCCGATTGATTTCGGGGGTTGGTTTCTGGCTGATTCTGATTGGTCACTGTTGCTTGTGTTTCCTGCCTTTGTGGCTGGTAGTAAAAGGGAAACAGTAGGTGTGTGTGTGTGTGCGGAGTGGCAGAAAACCCTGCCACCATACAATAACTTTTTCCCACTGCAGGGGGTGCCAGGGGCAGAGCAAGGCTGGCACCAACGAAGACCTTTGCTCTTGCCTGTGATATCAATCTTGGACACGAGATTGACGTACCTGTACCAGTGATTCAAAGTCCTTTTGGCCCGTTGTTTCTCTCGCTGTGTGTGCTTCATGTTGAACCTTGTAACGTTTTCGACACTAGAGGGAAACCGAGTGCATTGCGAGCCGAAACTTATTCATGCAGAACCTTATCCAAGCCGAGACTTACCAGTTGTACTCGAAAGATTAGAACCCTCCATCTGGAGTCTAAGTGTGAACACCCCATTCGTGGGGGACCCTCGGGTGTACCCATCGTGTGACCCCGGGCCGGTACGCCGGAAAATTTGACCTCAACGTGCTTATCATAGAACAGCGGAATTTCATGTTTAAGCAGGAACGAGGTTTCACTAAAGGGAAGACAGCCACCTCTTCATAGTTAAGTTTCACAATCCTGGATGTCGCTGCTGGCAGATTCCTTTGCGCCTTGCGTTGTGATGCCGTTTCCTTTCGCAAAGAGCATGTCGGCCGATTCACATGCTTGAATTATCCGAGTTGTGTGCTGCACTTGACGTACTGCACAGTGGTCGAGCTTTGATTCATGAATATGCATGTACATGTCTTGAGTTGTCGTTGATTGTGGTTTGTCGTTTGTATCCTTCCTCAAGAACGAGCTTTACCATTTCCGGACGTGTTGCTGTTTCGTCATGTCACGCCGGGATGATCGTGACAGATCCAGAACTCGGCGCAGAAGGGATCGGAGTCCCTCCTCCCAGCCTGCTTTGCGAGCACGCAGACGTGAACACAATGACAACCTGGTCTCGGATGGCATGGATTGGAACAACTTGGTCTCCTGGCAACACAAGTCGGGCTACAACACTTCCAGTGCTTTTCCGCTGCCGCCAGGCAACTACCAAGCGAACCCCTCCTCTACGCAGCAATTTCATCTTACTCCGGTCAACTACTTGCTACCGTTTCCTCCAGAGCCCACACCAGCTAAGTTCGTGACGCCCGTGATGCCACCACAGGTCACTTCTTCCCAAGCTACACCATCGCCTGGATACCCAGCTGCGCTGCCAGTTCGACCTCAAAAAGCGTGGCTTACTCCACCGGATGATTGGAAACCTGGTTTTCGCGCTCTCCCCAACGCAGTGGATATTTTGGTAGACGTTAGAATTGATGAGCCAATTGCGTGATCTTCCGGCTGGAACAAAAGGTTTTCGCCCCTCACTGAGGGGCGTGTGTGTGCGGAGTGGCAGAAAACCCTGCCACCACACAATAACTTTTTCCCACTGCAGGGGGTGCCAGGGGCAGAGCAAGGTTGGCACCAACGAAGACCTTTGCTCTTGCCTGTGATATCAATCTCGGACGCGAGATTGACGTACCTGTACCAGTGATTCAAAGTCCTTTTGGCCCGTTGTTTCTCTCGCTGTGTGTGCTTCATGTTGAACCTTGTAACGTTTTCGACACTAGAGGGAAACCGAGTGCATTGCGAGCCGAAACTTATTCATGCAGAACCTTATCCAAGCCGAGACTTACCAGTTGTACTCAAAAGATTAGAACTCTCCATCTGGAGTCTAAGTGTGTGTGTGCTGGTCACCCAGGCGCAGGGACGCGCCGAACCCTATTGCTGAGGCACCTTACTTTCCCGCGCACTCCAACGAACAGGCCAAAGGCAGAGGCTGAAACATACCTGTTGGGGCCGCACCTGGGCTCCGTCGTGGGCAGCTGGGCGCCCGCCCCAAAATAAAACCAAGATTGCTTGCGCAAGGCCCGAATTTTCCGCAATGGAGCAAATCCAGCGTGGGTTTCTTTCCTGAGAAATGTGTTTCCAAAAGCTGCTCGAAATGGTTGGCTTGTGAAACCACGGATGGTTGAAGGGAATGGGGAAGCCTCGTATCTCAAAACCTAAAGTGGACGGATTGAGAACGTGGTTGGCTTTGCTCGGCTTTGGCCAGGATCGACCTTTTGACCATTTCCCTTTTCGGTTGAAGGCAAAATTGGACCGGTTCTGAAGGAACTTTGAACCATGTAGGAGCCTTTTAAACGGCTCCCAATGATTTTTGCGAAAAGGGGTAGTCCTGCCGACGCGAATAAAGACACACCCGTAGTGTGTTCCTTTTGGTTGTCCTTCAAAATTGATACAAAAAACCTCCCTCTCTAAGGCCGCTGTATCGATTGAGGAGATTAGTGCAGAGATGAAGAAGCGATCCGAGGGTGACATGAAGGGATTCCTTGGCTACACTGACGAGGCGCTTGTGTCCACCGACTTCGAGACTTGCCCATCTCCTGTACCTTTGATGCCAAGGCGGGCATCATGTTGGACCCCACCTTCGTGAAGGTGGTGTGCTGGTATGACAACGAGTGGGGTTACTCATGCAGGGTTGTGGATTTGATCAAGCACATGGCCGCGGAGGACGCCAAGGCATAAGGAAGAACGTGCCGTGACCAGGGAGAAGAGCTCAACTGTTTTGTTTTGCTTGAAGGCAGACTCACTCGTTGAGTGATGTCTCCTGAATTTTCCTATTCAAATGTTGGAGAATCTGCCACCATCAGCGTGGTAGAATGTAGGCAGAAAAAGAGGCACAATCTCTTGCAGCAGCCTGCTTTATGCCATGGACTCAGCATTTGGATTGCAAAGTCCAAATAATGATGTGTCAAGATGAGGGGACTCCCCCCCTCAAAAAATGAGTTGTCCGGCCACCACTTTACACACTTCAATAAAGATGACCCTCGAAAACAAGGCGCACCCCAATTTGTTGGTCCCTATCCTTGCACAGAAGAAACATACAGTACAGCTTTTCCTTGGATCAGCAGCCACTTCCCTTGAGTGATGCCAAGGGTGTGATTTCTGATTGGAGTCCACCCCCTGCTCTTTGAAGGAAAGAGGAGTATCGATGGTTCATTACCAAGTTTCCAGCTTGGGAGGCTTGTCTAAAGTTTTGTGACCTTCCTTCTTCAGTCATTGAGGCTGTGCCTTGTGAGACACCCCTTGTGTCAAAACAATCTATGAAACCATTTCAACTTTTCTTGTCCCAAGGGTCCCTTTACTTGCAACCCACAGGTGGGCAATTCAGACGCCTAAGCCTTAAGCGAGACTTCTTCGGACGAAGAGGTGCAGACGGTGTTCTTGCTGAAGCACGACTTGACAATTTGGTCCATGCCGCTGGACAAGACCGCCAAATGGGAGAAGGCCGGGACTCAAGTGAGTCACAGATGAAGCCGGACCGGGGGGACATTCCGAACCATAAATGCATGTGACAAGCCTTGGCGATTCCTCACGTGGTTTTGGATGGACTCCTTCGGCTCCAGATTTGATTATGATGCAAGTGGGGACAAGGTGGGGATGATCCAAGTCAACCGGATGTTCACTGGAGTTGAGTGGGGTTCGAAGCTGCAGGTTACCTCGCTTTCGGCCAAAGCAATTCCGCCTTTTCGCTTTCTTTAGTCTTTAGGCCAAGAGGCTGACCTTGCATTTTCAATGGGCAAATGAGGGGATGTTCCACTTTGCTCATGGCATCCACGGAAGAAAGAGCAGCAAATCCGTTGCACAGCGTTGCGCGCGTGACTGGGTGCTTTCCAACTTTCCAAGATTGATAGATGAAAGCTAGTGTCCTTTTCGTTTCTCTGCACCACAAAAGGGGCACCCAAACTCGGGACACGCCAAAGTGGGTTTCTATCTCAAACAAGGCCAGCTCGAATTTCGACTTGGAGCCAAACGCCACCCTGTTTGCACTGGGAGCTGTTCCGATGTTTCTTGAACATGGGGGAGGTAATCCCCTTCAGATGCGTTCCGGGTGGTTTCCCTGCCACATATTTCGAGAACGACCCGATTGCTGAGTGTTTGTCTTCCCACTTGCTTTCCGGACACAAATGTTCTTGACTGGTACAAGTATTGCCAAGTGGCAGTTGCTGGGGCATCCAGCCGATAGAAAAAGACACACCTTGAACCGCCATTATCAATCCAGACCCCGGATCCGGTGAATGAATCTCATTACCATCCCGCCCCCTGGCATCCTTGGGAAGGATTCACAATAGTTCTCCGGTTTGGTGTGGTCTTGAACAATAGTTCTCCGTTTTGGTCTTGAACATTAACTTTCAGTCCAACTAAATAGGCTTTGCCTTAAGGTGGTATATATATATATATACATAGAGAACTCTGCTGAGGGAGTGGTTGCTGGGTGATGTGTATGGTTGCCTTGTTAGTTACTCTTCACCCTGGAAGTGGCAGATTTGTTTTCAAGAAAGGCAGCCAGTGCAAGAGAATATTTCCTTGGCTCTGAAAATGGCCAAGGTTTGGAAAAAATGCCATCTGACTGACGGGAACTGCTTGGAATATTGCTCCCTCCAAATCACTTAGAATCTTGAAAGGACTGTCGTCACAGGGGCTGAGTTCCCGCGCAGGGCAGATGTTTGGGTTGGTATCCCCTTTTCCCTCTTTATTTTCTTTTTTTTCTTGTTGTCTTTCTCTCTCTCTTCTCTATATGTTTTTTGGCTTCTTCCTTTCTTTCTTCTTTTGGTTCTTTCCGTTCTGTCTTTCTTTCCTTCATTCCTTCCTTCCTTCCTTCCTTCCTTCCTTTCTTTCTTTCTTTCTTTCTTTCTTTCTTTCCATCTGGGCGATTCGGAAAGGGAAAGCGCCAGGAAACCCAGCCCTTTTGGGAGGATCCCCCAGTCGAGGCAACCCACAGCGTCAAAGCGCTTGAATCTCTTTGACCAGTTTTGGCTGATTCAATCGGTGTTTGCAATTTTCGAGGGGCATGGGAACAGGGACCGAATTGACCGAATTGGGATAAGGTGACCAAAAGAAAACTGCGTATCGAAGGGGGTTCTGTGATTTTTTTTTTGCATTTCTCAGCTGGCCTTCGCACTTTTCAAAAGCACCCTGGTCTGCCCAGGTGCTGCTCACAGAGGGCATGCGCATCGTCAAGATTGGGCCCGAGGAGCTTGGGTGAGTTCTTTTCCCCGAGAAATCTAACGGCCCCGCTGTAGTGGAAAGGTGCAAGATTGGGCAAGCCCTTGTTTTCGTCGGTTGATTTGGCTATGCCCCGCATGTCCGAGACAACGTGACAATGGAGTAGCAATCATGTTGTCAGCTGCCCAAGCAACCAATCGGTAAACATGTTCCACCCATGTTTACCCTCCCACCCGCAACTTGGTTTGCAGCACTTGCAACTGTTTTGCGAGCCGGAGTTTTGGTTTGGTACTTCCATGTTTGCTTCCTTCTTGCAAAAAAACAAGATCCCTTGAAAGCGGTTCTGTTTCATTTGGAGGTACATGAAGCTTGTCTCCAAATGGTGGCAAAAGAGCAAACCGTGGTGATTTTCCACCTTCGAATTTTCAGAAATGCGTCTGTCCTGTTTGTGCGGTTCTTTTTGTGGTTTTAAGCGGAAACTTGGAGGTGCTCAGCTGCAAAGCAGACGCAAACGCAAACCCTTGATTTCGGGAAACAACCACGTGCAGTATCCCTTGCGCATTTTGACCAACCCAGGCGTGTGCTGTAGATACTAGTCAGTATGTTTAGAATGCCAGCTGCCAGCCTACCGCATCTGAAATCGGAAGCGCCAGCGATGTGCTCGGCCGTGATTTTTTGTCTTTTTCCTCTTGGTTTGAGCATATTTGTTTGTTTGAGACATATGTACACGGGGTTCCGGTCCCAGTTTTATTGCCCGTGAACAGGTGGCTTTTATCGTCTCCAACCTGAATTTGCTTTGCGAGTTTCCTTTTGGTGGGGTGACGTTTGTGGGTTGAAGATAGAAGGAACCCTTGAACACACCAACCCACACGCACACACACAACACGCACGCAGTGCACACACGCACACGCACAACACACGAACAGAGTGCGCACACACACACACACAGGATGGCCAAGTTTCCTACATTGGGTGATGTTTGCAGTTTGGGAGACTTGGTGACAGTGGGTTCACTGGGCGTACTGTCGCCAACGTCTGGACAAGGACTCGGAAGAGAACCAGAACCTGCAGAAGGGCGTGGCGCTGCATCCTTTGGCGTTGCCACTGGAATGCAGGTCCAGGGTCGTCCACTATGTCTCTCTGAGCAGAAACCTTCAATCCGGCAAAGGGAGTCCCTTGTATTTTCAGAGAAGGGAGTCCCTTGCTTTGCCAGGGCTCCTTTTGATTTCCCTCAGCCTGGTTCAAGCACCGTTGGGTCCCGCTTGAGTTGAACATTTGTTGGGCTGGCTTATGCTTTGGGGAAAATGGAGACCCTGGCTCGCCCCCTACCCTTTTCTCGTGCATCTTCCTCCCAGCCAGTTCAGCAGCCCTTCCGAGTATGACAATCAGCCTCATTTGTAGAGGGCGGATCTCCAGCATGTCTTGTCCAAACGTGCTTGGATTGCAACCTGGCATGACGCCCGTTGGGGAAATTCCCCATTTGGGACAGTTTTCCGCCAAGACTTGGTTGCTTTGCTCTTTTTCTGATCGCCTGGTTCAACGTAGGATTGGGCCAACCAACTGTTTCAACATGTTTTATCCACCTATCAAGCATCGGCTCATTCACATCATCGTTTGCAGGGGCTCATGGCAACTTTTGATCAAAAACAAGTTTGCGCTTGGCCCTTTGGGTCTGCAAAACTTGGAGTTCTTTCCGCCGCTGAGGCTCTCCCGGTGTTTTAGCGTCTACCGCGGGCACTTGGATTTGGTGCTAGTTGCCACGCAGGATTTGTCGCCCATGCACCATGGCCGAGCGGGAGTGGGGGCTCGGGTGGTTCGACCTGTTGGCCTCTGCAATGGGCGAATGTTCATCTGAGTCAACATCTCCATTTTCCTGGTTGCTACAAGGACAACCAGGCATGTCAATGAGGGTGTGCTTTTCGGGGTGGTGTCCCCTTCAACATAGACCAAGAGGAGGCAGGGTTTGTTTGAACTACCCAGACTATAAAATATGCCCACCTGTAGTAAGCAAGTAGCAGAACCACCGGGGAAGCTTGTGACTTCAACATGGGGTTTGGGAGTGGGGTAAGTTTGGGAGAGCGCAGGCGAAAGACTTGCCGGTCCTGCTGGTCTCAACCATCCATTTTCACTACTTGTGGAAAGCTCATTCATGATGAAAGTCCCTCACTTGGATATCCCTTAATTCAGGTGAGTCAGGCTGCAGGTTCATCATCCAGAGGAGCTTGTGTTCCCGTTGAGACTCAGCATGGGAATGAGTCAACAACCTGGGTTTCGCATCTTCAGTTGGTAAACAACCTTAACCATATTTGGAAGCCTTGTGACACATGGGACTCTTGGTTTGTTCCAGAAGCAAGCCAATTCGGCTGACGACGAAGCACCTGCCCTGCTTAAAAACACTGGAATGAATATGATCTGTCGCATGGAGTGCTTTGCCTTGTCCACCCCAGACCACTAAAGCTGAACAACCTTGGCAACAGATGGACACATTCTTCATGCTCTGTGAGTTGCCTGGACCAGCCTTCCTCAAGCTACGAATGTCGGGCGTTGGAAGAAACAAAGCAGTGGCTTATGTGCCCAGGGTTCTCGTTTGGTTCGCGCTCCGTTTGGTTTTGCGAGCGCGTTAGAAAGGGTTTGCCTTTTGAGATCCAACTCACAACTCCCTCATGTTGCTTGATTAGAAAGGTGGACCCCCTTGAGTGCACCCACCTCTTTATGGCGGCTTGGCACTGCGTCCTTGTGAAAAACTCTCCGAAAGAGGGGGCGGAGGGGGCGGGCCCTATCGGATTGGAAGAGATCGACGGATCCAATCCGATCAACTCATCCACGGATCATTTGTTGACTCCCCTTGTGTACGAATCCTCCGAGTAAGTTGTTCAAGCTTACATTCAACAGCAAGCTCTAATTCATTGTTCCTTTCAGCAGCAACCTGTTGCGATGCCAATGGCTGTCGCTGTTAACTATAATAATTGCGTGTTGCCCCAGTACCCACTTTCGTTGAGGGCATAAAATCTAGGTAAACCACATGTTTCCAGACCCATTTGTTCGAACCTAGGCTCTTTTGAAGGTGTCCACCGGGACTCTTGGGCCACCCGACGGATCGATCGGAGGTTCAAGGAGGACTGCCAAGAGTTGCAGGAGGCCTGCAAGGCCGAGGGCCTGGGCCCGGAGACCAACGGCTACTGGCCCCCCCACCGGATGTTCGACCAGAGCCCGGGGGCCGAGAGGGAAACTTCGAAAGCGGGAGGTGCGGTGGATTCGCCTCATGAACAGGGGAAACACTTCTGACTATCTTCTCTATCTTCCATTTGCTCAAGGTTTTGTTTTTGCAAAGCTTGAAGGGAAACGGTCATTACAAGCAAGCAGTCAAATCAGCAATGAGTGCAATTAGTTTTAGACGGTTTACTTGCAGCAAGGGAATCAGTTGTATGCCGGATGTTGTTGCTTGAGAGCCTCGCTCAGAGAAGTTTTGCGATTGAGAGCCTGCCACTGGCAGGTACGGGAGCTGAGATTTTGGACTGCAAATGTGACATCGTCTTGCACCCGGGATATGCATCGATGTATGTATGATGCAATCGTAGTTGTACATATACACACGTGCACATATTTACATAGTTGCCCATTTGCTTCAACACGTCAAACATGCCCTGAAGCTGCCTTTGACTTGCCTTGCATCCAAAGGTGAAAAGCATGGGAACTGGCAGGCTCTTCCGGATACCCACTCTCGTCACGCATTAATTCAGCTTCAGGTGACCAGACAGGCCGTATCCAGAGAGTAGTTGTGCTGTGTGGTCCAGGTTTGGGAGCATTTGGGCAATTTGTCCGGAGGTGTTTCCAAAAAGATTGCCGTCGACCCCCGTTTAGCGTTTGCTTTCTTGATCATTCTTTGGGGAGTTGCGCTTATTACCCTGACGAGGCCTTCCGGTTACCCATTCATGTTGATCAACCAGTGAGAATGGGCACAATCCTTGCTGATAGGGAGCCAGTGGCCCTGTGGAAATTCTTCCGATGTTGTTCCTGGGTTTTGATCTTTACTTTGGTGGCTACATGGAGGCGCCAAACTTTCGGTGATCCGGCATTCATAGGTGTGTCCATCCTGTCCATGTGCTGCATCATGCTTGGCCTCGCCAACCTTCTCATTCCCACCGCATTTCCACCTTCCTGATGGCTCGCACTCACCTCGGATGGTTCCCTTTGCCACTTGCTGCTCAGCTGCTACTCTTTGAACCACGGTCTAATGATTGTGTCAGCCGACCGTGTTAGCTCGCCGATCCCAGTCCATTCTCGCCTTGAACTATCCAAGGACCCTCCGGCCGAACCCCCTAGAACCTGTGACTTGCTGCAAAAGAACAACCCACAGTCCTTGTGTGCAAGGACACAGTGTAGCTTGCCTCAATTGTGACATGCAGTTTGTTCCCTGAATCTCAAACGTTGACTACTGAACACCCTGTAACTTACCATGGTTCGAGTTTCACTTCATGTTTAGCTTGACTCCATGGGGTATGCGAGGCTACGAGAAGACGATCTGCGTGTATCGGTCGCTGAAGCTCCCGCTCTTGCGCCTTGGCCACGAAGGCGGACACGACTGAATCTAATACCCGGTCGCGCGGATTGCCTTCGATCAAAGCAAGAACAATCCGCAAAAGACAAGGGCCCCTTGGCAATGATGTGTTGACTCTCTTGGGGTTTGCAACACGTCCCAACCTGACTTGGGCCAGAACCTAGATCGGACGCTGTGAGTTGGACACGGATTTCATGCCCCTGGCCCGGGCAGTTCCCAGGGGCCAAGGCAGCTGGACCATTGCCAGCAAACCTACTAGATAGTGAGATCAGATAGATAGATAGATAGATAGATAGCTAGAAAGCTAGATAGTGATATTAGATAGACAGATGGATAGGTAGATAGATTAGAAAGCTGATGCGAGACGGGGATTGAGATTGAGATTGAGATAGATAGATGGATAGACAGGCAGGCAGGCAGACAAACATATAGACAGATAGACAGATAGACAGATAGAGAGAGATTAGATCGATAAATGCTGGATAGATAGATAAACAGGCAGATAGATAGCAAGATAGTCAGCCAGATAGATCGAGAGCTAGGTGGATAGACTGCCAGAGAGACAGCAGGATAGACAGGTAGGCAGATAGCTAGGTAGCTAGGTAGCTAGGTAGGTAGGTGGGTGGGTAGATAGGTAGAAAAGAAAGAGAAAGGGAAAAGGAAGGAGAAAGCGGAAGAGACATGAAAGAGAAACAACAGAAAGATAAAGAGAGAAGGAAAGAAAGAGAAGGGCAAGAGCAAGAGAAAGACACACAGAAGAGAAAGAGAAGGGAGAAAGGGAGAAAGAGAAAGGGAGAGGGAGAAAGAGAAACAGATAAAAAAAAAAGAGGGAGAGAGATAGAGCGAAAGAGAGCTATAGTCTATATTTTTAGCTTCCGCCAATCGATTTCGCCGGCTCCACTTGTATGATATCAAAACAATCCCGGAAAATGCCGTCAAACGGCCATGGGGATGGGAATCCCGCTTTGGTGCACATACAGCGTGGTGTTCACGTCACATGCGGTCAATCCAAGGGGTGCCAACTCGTTTGGAGGCACACCCAGCTTTCCAGCGGGTTCCGGGCCACGTTGCATTTTTTTGGTTCGGGGCTGTTTCCCTATGAAACTAAACTAAACTGAACATCCGTCCTCTTTCCTGTGGCCACTGGGCAAGCTCACGAGCTTGCATGATGTGTTGGGAACTTTCAGCAGCTTGTGCACGACTCACTTTCCCCCGTTCTTCCACAATGGAGGACTCTCCTCACGAGGCCAAGTCATATTGTTTGTTGCTCACGTAGATGCCTGACGGGAATCGGCATGGCTCTTACTCTTCCTCCCAACATGGAACCCGTCCATTTGCTTAAGGTGTTTGACTTTTCCTGGTTGCACGCCCCTTTATAAGACCACTTTCTTTTGGAAAGGGCGCATATGCAATTCTGTGTTTGTTGGAGTGCAGACGTTTCTCAGATTTATCATTTGTTGGCGCATGCGCTCCAAGGACAGGCAAGGTTTGGCACGTGCTGGAACAGGGCCAGCAGGGCCTCACCTGCCGTGGGAGATCACGGAAGAGCCGCACGGCCAAACAGCTGTTTGGGTTGCGCCCAATGTTGTCTTCTTGGTTTCACTGGTAGAACCATCAAGGGGTCGGTTAACCTCAACGGCCCCAAAAGGAGGCGAACAAATGGGACTTGTGGGTGAATCGACCCTTCTATTTCTTAAAAAAAGCGACAGCCCTGACAGTCCAACAAGACGCATCCAGATTTGGAAACGCTGCATTTAGGTGGACAACGTATCGCAACCTCACAGGGCTTTGGTCTGCGACCCCTTTTGGGTTGCTAAATTGTCGATGAGCTGCCCTGAAGCATAATTCATGGCAGGAAGTTAAACAAATCATACCCCCAAGGGCTCTGGGGGGGGTTCATGCGGCTTCATGCGGATTCATTCAGATGCCCGCAGATTCATGCGGATTGCGAGGCCTTGATTTCAACCACTCGAGCTCGATCATCACGGAGAGAGTCGAAATCTGCCCGGGCCCTTGCCACAACTCAAATTGCCTGGCACAAATGGACAAGACCCAAGATCTCACTTGACTTGGAGACACCTCAATTTTTCGCCACCTGGCTTTCTAAAGGCTTCCAGCTTGGGCCGTGTTCGGATCTACCCTTGGATGGCTTCCGCCCTCTGAATTTGCTTACTTTTGTGAAGTAAACCAACGAGTCCAGGCGAAGTCTACCATATCCAAAGTGTGGAAAAGCTGATTTCCAAGAGCTCATCAGCCACCGGAGCCAAGCTTTCCCTTCGAGCAGGGTCCAACACTGTGGCCAGGTTCTGTAAAGAGGGTCCCTTACGTGGTGCGAACTGGGAAATCGAAGGACCTATGTTGAGTGGTTGTTGGTTGACCGAGTGCGTGTTCCTCCTGAGCGCTGATTCTTGTCAAGCTGACTCGACATTGTCGGCATTCAAAGGTGTGAAAGTGGATCGCTCATTCTTCCCTGGAGCAATTCATCTTTGCTGCCTGGTTCAAAGCCAAAGGTTCAAACTCTTAAGCCTGGTGTCTTCTTCGTTCTGTGGGGCTTCGTCCAAAAGGCACACGCTAAATGCTTGAAGGCCTGGGATATGAACCAAAAAAGTTGGTGCCGCGATTCCCTGCCTTTTTTTGCCTTTTGTTGGTGGGCACTGTGGCACTGATCTTGCAGGCTTGAACGATGATGGCTTGCCAGTGGACAATTTGAGTTTGTCCTACAAACGTGGCCCGCGAACAATGGTTGGGGTCCACCAACCATGTTGGAGGGCTTTCCCCATGCTTTTGTTCAGCAAGCAAAGAATACCAGAAGCGAAACTGGAAACGGTCCAGCTTGCTTTTTGGCGATTGCATGCGTGGGGCAATCTCACCAATCCTTGAGGCGCTTAGGACGATCTTTGGCCCAATGTTGAGTGCATGTCCAGCGCTTCAAGGAGTTGCAGGCAACCCAGTGAGCCGAAACCCCTGGCAAGTAGAGGCTAACAGGTGGACATTCCCCAAGGAGGCTGCCAAGATTTGGACAGATCACTTGGGAATCGGTGACTAAAAAATGGGTGACAGTTTTGGCCATCATGCTCTCGCATTAGACGACCGTCCGAGATTTGCAGGGATGGCACGGCCTCTGCTATGCTGCGTATGACTGTGCTGAGGCAAAGAGGAATGCGCCAAGGACCCGGGGATAGTTCATCCAGAAGTTCGATTGCAGGGGTGCTGGGTGCTATTCCCCCTCGCAGATTCATCGTGCATCCACCGCGACAGGGTCATGGGGTACAGATACCTTGGTTTGGGAAAGACGGGGGTGCAGAATCCACACGACTTGGGAATGCTCGCTTCGAGTTTAGGAAGGGCCTGTCCAGATTCAGCGGAGGAAAGCGGTCCAATTGTTGGGAATTCGTGCAGTCCTCCGGATTGATCCGAAGACAACATCAAAAGAGCCTGATTGGGTGGAAAGTTGCCAAACATCAAGGTGATTCGGGAACAACAAATACCCTCTAAGGGGAGGCCCAGTGAGAGGCCATATTGACCCCTCACTGAAGCAAGCAAACCAATCGCAAGCTGCAATCAAGCATTGCGAGATCATTGTTTTTGACTTGGACCACTTGTTGAAGCCACAACCTCCCAAGAAACAAGCCATCCCGAGGGCTCAGGGTTTTGGCCTACGGGAAGCCGAGGGTTTCCAAGAGGTAAACCAACTCGGCATTGGGACCTCCTGAGCCCAGAAAGGTTCTTGGAACCCTCAGAGCCCCTTCGAAGGTTTTGGGGGCCTGTAGTTTCCTCCCTAATTACCAATCATTCGTCCAAGTTCGTTTTTCGGGGGTCCGTGTCCAGATCTTCTCGAGCTTCCCCAGCCTCGTAGGAGACGTGGTGCACCCACGTCTTCTACAAGGGCGAGGCGGGGGGAATCGGATCGGGACCAATTGACAGCACTTACGCTGCCTGGATGTGTCTCTCAGAGGAAAATGGCTCCCCATGTTGAAGCAAGTTGGGCTTGTCTTGTGGATTTGGATTCCCCATAGATTCCGTACTTGTCCGCAAGATGTGATCCATGGGGTGAAGTCCGACTCAGCCAGAAGTAGCAACCACCCATGCGGACGTGATTCCTTTTTTCCTTCTCTAAGCGCCACTTGATGACGGAGAAAAGAGTAAACACTGTGCTGCAGCCCATGTTTTCCATCTGGGCTGGCCATCGAACGCGAGACGGCTGGATTTTACAACATACTTGCGTGGTCTGGGTCTGACTCAACACAAACCCATTTTGGAATGGTTTTGAGCAGCAATCCAAAGACCACCAACTTGCTGGAGGTTCCTCATATTGAAAGGGTTCTTTTAGTTTCAACGGGACCCCATGCCTTGAGGTGCCGGAGGCCTTCCGGTCGGAGCTGAAGCCAATCCTCCCGGGGGACCTGGTGCAGAAGCTCCAGCTGGGGGGCCCGAAGAAAAACCAGTTGCCAAGGCTCTGACTTATGTTTGACATGCTGAAACGGCGCAAGGGCAAAGGGAAATGACTAGCAACCCAGCTAAACCAACCAAATTCCGACCAAAGCAATGTGTATCAGCGAAAATGGAGGCCGTTTTTCATGCTGGCTGTACGTTTGTTTCCCTCTCAAGATCGGGGTCAACTCATCCAGGAATGCAGAAACGAGCCCCTAAAAGGATAAATTATTTGAACCGACGCTGCTTCTTTGATATTAAACGTCAAGTGGGACCCCTCCAAGAGGGCTTCTCTATACTGGTGGGGTCCAGCTTCACGTTCAACCAAGGGTGCCAAAAAAGCTGCTTGGGCAACGAATATTGCGCTTGGCGGGAGAAAGGGGTGGCTGCAGCCAATTTTAAACCCACCCGAAAGCAGCCCTAAACCTACCCGAGACCAACCCCAAGAAGCCCCACCATAAACCAGCACTAAACCATCTGCTGCAAGCACAGCCACCCCCAAATTTGCTCTCGATAGGTTTGGAACCCACCGAGAGCCGACCCTGAGCCAACCTGGAACCCACCCTAAACCCAGCCTAAACCAAAACCTGGTGATGCTGAGGATGTTGAAAACCGTGCTGAGGATGTTAAAACGATGCCGGGCCTGAACCTATCCCAAATCGACTACCCCAAACCTACCCTAAACCGAACCCAAACCTTTATCCGTTAGTGTCTCCTTTCGTGCACGCCAGGCACCTCAGCCGTCGGGTCGGTTGGTTTGAGGTTGGAAGACCTTCAAGTGGCGGGGTACGAGGTTCTGAGAGGAAATGTGCTGTTCACAACGGTCCGAACTGGCAAGTTCATGCGACAGGTCTTCGAGTTTGTCTTTTTTGCCTAAAGCCAACTCTTTGATCTTCTCTTTTGAACATGGACTCCAAACTCAGTCTTGGGTCCAACAAGCAAGAGCTTACGATCCAAGAAGAAGTCCTTTCCCAAAGGAGATTCCTTCCTAAACCACACTTGTTAGGGGCTTCCTTTTATTCATCTGACACAACCGCTCCAGTTTGAGCCCGTTTCAACTGCCAAGCTGGTTGGGCAAGTTCGGTTTCGCTGGAGACGTCGACTCGGCTGTGACTTTCTGCCAGTTTCCAGAATGCCTCGCGCTCCACGGAGTACCAGTGTCTTCTCTACGAGCCAGGGCCCTGACCCGACTGGGTGTCAAAACCAGGGTTGGTGTCCACTTTGAAAACAGGGCTTTCCATATTATGTCTCTTTGAGCAGTGGCTTGACCCGTCACTTCATACTAAACTTCAGTTTGGCGGGGTGATGTTTAAAGTGAGAAACAGGGCCAACTCCTGGTCCTTATTAGAGCTGCGCCCTGTTGCATCCGCATCTGAACATGTGCGGTTGCCTTCTAACGACTCCTGCGGAGTTTCCCTGGTATGCTAGAACCCACCACCACAGGTGGATCAAGCTGATTGCCTGGGCATGAATCTAGGGCATTTGCAGGTGTGGGTTCTGGAGGTATGGGCTTGTCTGCCACTGCTCTGAGTGGAAAAGACAGCCTTCCGGATAAATGGCGCACTAGGTCCCCCAAGAACCTGCCCCAGAGGTTCTATCGAATGCACCGCTGCCCGTTTTCCAGAGGGTGCGTGTGAGGGTGCCCACTTGGGCCTGTGTCAAAGCCAGCCCCTCTCTCGAATGCTACTTGCTTGGACCTGCGACTTTTGACTGTTGAACAAGATGTTTTCCCGATCACCAGCCCTAAGGGATGTCTTCTAATTGAACTCCTTTGGGTCAAGTATTTCCAGAAATAGGAAACCCCTGCTTATGCTGGCATCCTTTCGGTGTTCCCTAGAAACTCCCAAAACAGTGTCCATTCCCATTGTTTGAAGCATCCAACTGTTCAAACTTCCATGGCGTAGCATGGCTTTGGGGTACGCGTGCCAAATATGTTATTGTTTCTCTCTTAGACTCCTTGTATTAATTTGCCCTTTTTATACCCCGGATGCAGCTTGGCCCCCCCCCCCCCCGGCCGAAACCCCGAAAACTGAAGGGACTTCCTTGTAGGGTCACGTCCCGAACGGCGCGTGATCTCCCTTCTTTTGAGGGAGACCACTCACTGCCCCGAGGACTTGCCCCATGGCCAACTGGACCGCCACCCAAGCCTTCGCTGAGTTCCTGGAGGTCCGCACAAGTTCGGTGCAGCCGGTTTAGTTCGATTGCCTGGTGACCCTGGTGACCCTGGTTGGTGACCCTGGGTGGTGACCCTGGTTGGTGACCCTGGTTGGTGACCCTGGTTGGTGACCCTGGTTGGTGACCCTGGGTGGTGACCCTGGTTGGTGACCCTGGTTGGTGACCCTGGTTGGTGACCCTGTGGTGACCCTGGTGACCCTCAACATTCAACTTGGTGTGTTCACGTCAGCGTCCGATGGCAGGTTTTGGCCTCATCGTTTCTCAAATTTTGGATCTTGGTCCGCTTCCTTGGCAGTGTCCTTTTGGAACCCTGCCAAGGTCGGCTTTACCCTCAACTCCATGTGTTTCCGACCTTTGTTGGTTCTTTTTTCTTGTTTTCATGAGGCGTTTGTTGCTGACATGCCAGGGGGTCAACTTGAGCCCTCCAGCAATCCAACGATTCAGGGAAAGGCAATCCCCCGACCAATGCTATTAGTTTATTTGTTGTGGTTGCTGTCCATTTTATTATTTCCCCCTTATTTTGCGGACAACCTTCCGGTTGAACAGCTCAAGTACCCCAACATCCCACGAAAAAAGGCAAATGCTTTTGCGCATTCTGGTCAGCGGGTTCGGACGCGTTTTTCGTTGGGCGAACCACGACTTCCCCACGTTTTGAAGATCAGCCGCCAGAAAAGCAAGCAAAGCTCAAAGGGCCGGCAAGGTTAACGGACCGGCAAGGTTAAGTGCGGGGAGAACTGCGGGGAGGACGAACAACGCTGCATGATGGTGAGGCCGGGGATTTGGAGCGGAATCCCAGGACTGGAATTGCGGGTTTCCTACAGGGTTCTGATGTTTTCCCCTTTTTTGCGGGTGTAATATTATCTTTTGAGCCAATGTGAATTGCGTCTTTCTGTGAGGTGATATTGGAAGGGGACATATTAGGAACCTTGTTTTGGACGCTTTTCGCATAAACCAGCATGTCAAGGAGTGGGTTGAATCAATCGAGGGATTCGTTGGTTTTACGGACAAGCAGGGTTTGCTCATGCTGCTCGCGGGCAGGTAGTCACATGGGCTATATTTGCGTGATTGTGTGATTTTTGTTTTGTCTTGTCTTGTCTTGTCTATGCGTTTGTCGGTTTGTCTGGTTGTCTGTGTGTTTGCATGCTTGTCTGTCTGTCTGTTTGTTTGCCTGTTTCTTTGTTAGATTGTCTGTTTGTCTGTTTGTTTGTTTCTTTGTTTGCACTGCTATGCTGCGCCCTTTTTCGGGGGAAGGCGGAAGTCTCGGCCCGAACCACGAACTGGAGCCAGCCACCGGGCTGGAGGAGGAATCCCCTGGCCATGTCGACGGCTTTCGCTTTCAAGGAGCCCTTCTTTCGGCGTTGCCTTGACCCTTTGAACAAAACGGAGCCCCTTAAAGAGGCTAGGCAATTGGATTTTTCAGAGCTTGGCAATTGGAGCTTCCCCACGGACAGTTAGTGAATGGTCAGGCTTAAGGCGGGGTCTTTGAGCTCCTTGTTTTTATTCCTTGAGGAACTCCAAAGAATCCCAAGGAGCCCCAATGACCGCGAACACACCCCCAAGCAACCCAAGTAAAAGTTAGGAACCCCAAGAGTGTTGACGGGGGGTCACTTCGGAGGCCCAATAATTCGAGGAACCCTAAAGAAGCATCAGGAACCGGACAGAAGATAACAGAAGTCAAAATTCTGCTGAAACCCACCAGCACATGCCGGGACGGGACAAGCCTCCGCTGAAACATGCTTAATCCGCTAGTGTTTGGAAGCAGTTGGAAACAGAACCCCTTAAAGCCTTGGTTTCCTTTTGCAACTTCGGGGTCCTTTGCAAAGTTTCAACCTCCTGTGGTGCAGGCAGGGCTACGCCCGGCACCGCGCGCAGCACTACTTGGGCGGGGAGGAGGGCTGCCGGAGTGCCTGCCTCAACTCCTCCCAGGACCCTGCGTGACGTCAGAATCTGAGGAGTCATGAGTGCCCGTTTCAGGCTTGAAACGGCTTGCATCACTTGCATTGGGAGCTGGGCGATTGAGCACAACTTCTTGGCGCTTGGTTCCCAACATGACTCGCTTGGCGAATCACAGGAAGTATTGACGCGTGCGCTCGCTGTGAGGACGTGGCTCAGTGCAACGCATATGTCTACGCGCCCAATGAGCATGAGGGGACCTGCAAAATTTATGGCCCTGAACCTTTCCTGAGGCGAGGACGGTGGATTATTGGAGGGGAGGGGAAGGTGGCACTTCGGGGCACATGGAGTGAAGCACTGAGGACAATAATCAAAAGTCATATCCCCTTGAAACTCACGCAAAAGGTGTAAGGGCTATGCAAATCTCTATGATCATGCTCGTAGAACCAAGAGTCGGCAAGCGACGAGAAGTCGTTTCTTTGTGTCAGAGGTGCTTTGAGTTGGAACAGATTGACCCTGAAGTTTCAGTGTAGAGATTTGGTTGGGAAGGCTTTGGTCTCTTACAGGAGACATCTTTCAAGGGCCTGCTCTGTGCAATGAGGGAGTTGCCAATTGTTTACTGTCAACATGATGCTTTTCCCTGGCTTTGAGGTTCGCTCACGTAGATTTCATTCCGATTGATCAAAAAGCATCGAGAAATGCCAGGGGCGTGGGGCGTCTCAACGGCAAATACGGAAACAATGACATTTGTTTTAGTGTTGACGCTGTTTTCAATCGACTGCCTTTCCCTACATACAGGGATTTGACAAAGTCGTGCCTCCGTTTGAGGCATTGCTTAAATTCCATGGGGGAGAGAGCTTCGAAGAAGTCGTGCCTCTTTCCAAAACGCATAGGAACTCTACATGTTTGAAGGGATAGGCTGTTGGGAGGCGTTGCAGTTGAAAATGGTTATTCCGTGGGGTTTAGGATGGCTTAGGCATGTTCTATCTTATCCGCCTAGGAGCGTTTACAGTGCGCAGCGCTGAGCCGGTGTGCTTGAGCGGGGGTGCTTACCATTTGGCTGGCGTGTGTGCGCAGGGCTGAGCAGGCGCGCTTGAGCGGCTGGCATTCGCAGGTGCGAAATGGAGTCGAAATGGGTGCGGAAGGGGTTGATGGGAGCGGGTGCAGAAGTGAGTGAACTTGTGGGCGCGGGTTCGGCACATGTGGGCCCAAAATATCCCAAAATCTTCAACGGACGGTCGGTGATCTTGTTTTGATCTCGGTTTGATCTCGTTTTGATCTCGTTTTGATCTTGTTTTTGTGCCAGGATGCATTGCATATGTGCCTGCCTGCCTTCCAGAGAAAGAACTCCAGGACGTGGAAAAACACGGTGCAAGAGCCTGCAAAGCCCACCCATTGTGTCACGTCTTACAAAACTCTCCTGCAACAACCTATCGTATGCTTGGCGTTCCATTGGTTTTCGTGTTCCTGCAGACGCCTCGCAGGGCTGGAAAACATGCTTTGCCATCAGTAGCGTTCCATTGTGTTTCAGTGTTGACACCTGTCTTTTTGTAGCATGACCAGCTCGGTGATGTCAAGCGTTCCATGGGGATTGTTGCCGAGGCGTGACTTCTGAGTGACTTCTTGGAATCGGCGGTTACATGGGGGAACACATGGCCAAACAGACAAAGGAGTGACTTAGGCATGACTTTGTCGTTTGCCTGTACCACGTAAACCGACCGTTGGGCAAATTCTCCTATTTTGGATGCACCCAACGCAGGCGCCATATGCACAGTGATGAGCTTCGGGGGGCCGGTTGGGGGGGGGGGACCGATGAAGGATGCCTCTGCATCGTTATAAGTTATTTGAATGCTCCCCGCGGGCATGTTGTGAAGAATTGATCAAAGCCTGGAAGATAAAATGTAGTAGGAATGCTGGGGACACAGCCATAAACAGGTGCGGCGTGTAGCCCTTTTAAACTTCCTTGTCAGGATTTGATCATGACTCACTTGAATACCCCAAACGAAGCACGACCCTTTGCAGGCCCTTCGAAGGTTGGCACACACTGGACGCTGGAGGCTCAGACGAGGAGTTGTTCCCCTAGCTGCACCCATGAACTCCATTCTACCTGTTTTATCCTTCGAGGGCTACCACAAAAAGGGGTGTCCTTTTTTGCATCAAAGCTGGACTGCTGGAAGGCAAAGCCTCAACCCTTGCGTCACCTTTGCGGTGTCCAGCATTTGGATTTGCCAGTTGTAGCTATTTCAACCCGGGTTTGTTTGCAACCTCACCCATGCTGAAGGTGCCTTGCATATGGAACCCTTATAAGTAGTATCTTTCATTCAGCTGCAGAAGTGGGTGAAGGGAGTGCTCCGACAGTCCAAAGTCTGCTTGTCAGGTTCCTCTTTTGGAAGCAAAGGCATCCCCGCCATGGCACCGCACGGGCCGTGGTGAGTTGATTTCTTGAGATTCCGTACCCTGAGTTGTTGATGGGCATTTCGACTGCGC